TTTGGGAAAAAATATGTCATCAATGTAAAAAATGAAAACTGTTTAAGTTGCGCAAAATATGTATCACATTTATGAAAGTTTCTCTTTTATTTCCTATGTAAATGAATCATATTCTAGTAGGTCTACGGCACAAATCAAATAAGACAAGTATAGTATGTTATGTTTTCTTTGCAAATTTATATTGTTTATCAAATATCCTTAACTTTTAAAACATTTTATAAAGTTTTAAATTTTTATCATTTAGCGGATCCCAAATAATTGGGATAAGGCTTGGATGATGATGATGATGGTGATCTCTTCCCTGACGACCCCAATCGAGCAGCTTGTAGTCTTTGTGCCACAGATTATGAGGGACTTGATTTTGGTGCCGGTGGCCATGAGAACCTAATAGAAGAAGGGGCAAGTAGAGGAGGTGGTGGTTGGTGCAAAAGATACCTACATCGTCACCTACAGTAGTTGATGCATTTGATAGATGATCAAGGCCAAGCTGTGGGGCAGTCACATGCTGCCCCCCCCCCCGGTTTTTTTGTGTGCATGTTGGGGGAAGGGGGGAGGGGGGGTAATAAAACTAAGAAAGAAATAGGTATCGACATTTTGTCTGGTATCAGAGAGTTAACGAATGCGTCCAACAAGAATGAAAGTGAGATGGAATAGAATTGCAATAAGATCCTGATCTCTTTCAAAAGAGGGATATGGTGAACTAGTTAGACGTTACGGACTTGATTGAATTGAGGCTTGGTGTGGAAACCTACTAATTGGTAGCTTCCAAATTTAGAGAAATCTTGGAAGGAGAAATGAGCAAGCTGAGCCAAATGTTTATAGAAAACAAAGATTCCTAAAAAGCTAGAATCAATGCAATGGTGGGTGCAAAGACTCAACGAAGTTGTTTCAGCAAATGGAGTTAACCTCGTTTGCAGAGGAATCAATCCATAATATCGAAGTATAGGACTCCAATAGGTTGAACATATATTGCTATGTATTGAGTTGAAATATTTACGATTAATTATGAGGATCCTTTTATTACACATTTCAAAGTTCTTGTGAATTGATATCCAGTTACATATTCATTGATCAAATCATTCGCTCCAAAGTGTGATAGATTATTTGAAGAAATGACTAATTGGACGAGAATAGAATAAAGATAGAGTCCCATTCTACATGTCAATCCCAACAAGAATGCAATTTGTAGTAAGAGGAAAATTCATCGACTTTAGAAATCGTGAGGGTTCAAGTTCCTCTATTCACAATTAAAGAATGGCATTTAGAAATAGGAATGGGGTTGAAGTCAAGGTGGTAACACCACCTATGACTCAGCTACCGGTCTTGGTTTCCATTCCTACCGATGCTAACCCCTTTCAAAAACTACAAGCGGTTTAAAAAATTGCTAATCCACTACCAACAGTCAACGTTCAAAAAAAGTAAAAAGATTAAAAAGAATGGCGTTTAGAAACCGTGATCTGATGTTCCTATATATTGAATTGAAATATTCAATGATTAATTGTGAGGATCCTTTTGTTACTCGTTTCAAAATTCTTGTGAACTGATCCCAAATTGAAGGAACAATCACGTACTCCTTGATCAAATCATTGCAGAGTGTTATAGATCATTGATGAAATGAGTGATTGGACAAGAATAGAAGAAAGATATAGTCCCATTCTACTTGCCAATCTTAACAAGAATATAACTTGTAGTAAGAGCAATATCCGTTGACTTTCGAAATCATGAGGGTTCAAGTCCCTATTAAAGAAAGGCCTGGTTTACTCCCTAATCATTCATTGCTCATTTCATCTGGCTTTCTAAAACTAAATTATGTTGTTATGTATGTTTATAGAAAAGAGTCCCATTCTACATGTCAATCTTGACAACAATGGAATTTGTAGTAAAAATCTTGAGTGTTCTAGTCCCTCTGTCCCCAAGTAAAGAAAAACCTCCCTCTGTCCCCAATTAAAGAAAAACCTGGTTTACTCCTTAATCATTGATTCCTCTTTTCGCCAGGCATTCTAAACTAAATGGGGTGTGTTTATCATTCACATTATTGTTTCACAAAGAGACCCGAGCCTAAATTCTTCCTTCTACCAGTCTCCTCTTCCCGCAAGTGTTGTTATTGTGATAAATACAATATATGTAGAAGTGAACACATATGGACTAGAAATCCCCATGTTGAAGAATTCAGAGTATGCTAGCCTCACAAAACATAGAAAACCATGAAAAGGGTGAAATCCAATTTCAATTGTAGATCCAAATAAGATTTTATAGTATTTATTTTAGTAACTTTAATTGACGTAGGTGTAGGTTTTATAATAGCATGATGCAATGCATATGGTGTGTCGGAATAGCTCAAGTAGAGTAGAGGGCTGAAAATCCTCATGTCACTAGTTCAAATCTGCATGTTGTTGATATATGAAGGGATACCTAAACACAAATGAAGAGTTACTTAATGGGATACGTATTTGTTAATGGTCTAGATCAATGGAATGGAATACATAGTTACTCCATCTAGGGGTATAGATACACAACAAAGTTATTTGGATCTTCAAACCAATTGGTCAATTTGGTTCCAAATCTCGCTCCACAATGTTTAAACTTTGGAATCTTGATCCTACCTAGAAGTATAGTCTAGCAACATAGTATATAGTCTAGCAGTGTAGTATGGTATGGTAGTATGTATTCATATATGTGATATAGTTGTGTACAATAAATTCAAATATAGTAGAGTATATACTATGCTCGAATATGATACATAGCATAGTATTGTTGTATAGTACAGCCGTACATTATTGTATAGAAGTGTGTTAGTGTAGTAGTATATACTATACTACTATACTAATCAAGTGCTCTCAGAGCCTCTTTTTAAACAAATGGAGCTCAGTCCTGTATGGTGTATCATTGGATCCCGAGTAAGTATGGATCAAGCTCCCTCACATATTGTGATTGAGATCTCTAGTTTTCTGGGTGTCGATTCTGATCCCGGATCTAATTTGATCCCAATCCTAGCTGATTCAGATCCCATATCTAATTCAATCTCGATCCTAGCAACTATGTTCTCATTATTGATTAATGAACTCATTTCACAAAGCTTAATGTTCCAACATAGTGGAATTGTCCCTGACACAGTTCTTGACCATATCAATTGTCCTTAAAACTAGTGTTAATCACTTCAATAAATAAATATTAATGACGAAAATAAACACTCTATTTGTGGGCATATTTACTGTGGCAATCAGAAACTTGCTTTTATCCCTAATATTCAAGGTTATCAAATTCAATATGTGGTGCAGGGCACTAGGAGTGTCCGATGCACTACGCATCTCACTGTGGCAGCGATAGGCACATGACTTCCTATGTGGGTAATAAGTATAAAAGATTCCAAAATGTTAAAATTTATAAGAGTGCATATAATGAACCAAATATGGCATGTATGTGATTGTAGAATTTTTCATTTATCTTAATTTTTTTCTTTTGAGATTTGTTTTCTTTCCAGCTTTTTTATTATCTGTTGTCTAACTAATATGTACACTGTCTAAGTTGCTGATTGAGTAATAGAAACATTTCGTTTGTCTATTCTCTAATATGATTAGCATGCTAATCCATCACTGAATTCAATAAAAAAGAAAATAATATGCTCGACTATAAAAGCAAGCACAATATGATACTATAAAAAGAAATTAGAAAAATGGCAACTGTAGGCAGATAGTCAAATGGTAAAAATAGTTGAC